GGTACCCAGTCGAAAATGGTGCGTCCAAATTATTATTAGCTGAAATGTTATCTCATGCAAAATATTAATCGAGATTTAGTGATATATGTTACCGCAAATGACCGATGGAATTTCGGTCATTTTAAGAATCTTTGTGCTGCTAGCAATCGTGATTGTTCGTAAGTGATAAATTGGCTGCTTATGAGCGGTTTGGGAAAATATGTTGGTGATTGCACCATGTATAGCCTTTTCAACCAAACTCTATTTTCACAAAAAATGTAATTTTACTGGTTAATTTTTTTCTGGAATTATTTGTAAAATACTTATCTGTAAAAAATTTGGGATATAGACTATATAACTGAACCACTAAATATTTAAGGTGCCAACTTGAGCTTAGATGTTTTTCTTCTGTCTTTGGTGACGCCGGTCCAACTTGAAGAAGTATGATTGGGTGAAATGGAGATATAAAAGGGTTACTATTATAAAAAGAGCAAGTCTTTTGTACTATCAAAGGTACAAACTCGAAAGTGTCAGTGAAGTGCTCAGGTATTTTGAAGAATGATGATGAATTCACATACTATGATGAAAGTTATGCTGAAACATCATTAAGTTTCTTGACAACATAAGGATGATTGAGGCCTTACTTTGATATGCCTGGTTTCAAACCACTACGCAAAAGACCTGGTGTAAAAAAACACGTTATTAGCCAATGACAAGTGGGCTGTGATAGTTATAGTTGTTGTTTTGAAATCTAGCCACACTTATGACAATGCACCCCTTGATGAAACAATTCTGGCAGTAAGGTTTTTAAGCCAAGGAGCAAGGTTTCATGCCAACCATTCCTTTCACACCCTTACAAAAAGCATATCATGCCAAAATGAACCTAGTTTAGCACGATACGATTATACTAACAAACCTATCTGAAGGAATTTCTCCTTTATGTGGCCTTACTCCATTAATCGACACTTACGAAGATGAATTCAATTAATGTTAGATATAATCCAACCAAAAAATTAAAGGTCAAGGTATCATAGTACGCGTAGTTTAAATTTGGATCAAATGCATTCGCTTGTGTAGTCTTTTTATGTGAAAGTAGCTGCTGGTTTATAGTTCAAAAGAAGGAGATTTCTCATTATTAAAGAAGTTCCAAGAAGCACCAATTGGAACTACCCGCAGGCAGCAGCTTGAGCTCAAAATAGTCGGAGACCATAAGCATCGATTTGAGAGGCAAACGAATGTTGAGAAGTTCCTGCAATTTTGATTGGCTAGCGTCAAAGCTGAGCGCGTGTTCTCAGCTCGTCCTCAAACACCCACGCAATCTATGCAATTAATAGCGACCAATGTTTCCGCACATACTAGTAATCTGGTGGGCACTTGCTTTGCCCTTTGCTTGTGCCTCATTGGTATCGGCCATAGTCAGAAAACTCATTTTAGGGCAATCAGTATGCCCATGACGGTGATCTACCATATGCAGTAGTTTTTTTCATTCGACTGTAATCGGTAGATTACTGGTTTAAATTTCCTCACTTTATATTACCGTGTTTTACACTACCCGTCATACCAACGGTTAAAGCATTACCATAAAGTGCAGTCAAAAGACCCGTTCTATCTTTCCCTTACTCTCTATCCAGAAATGAATAGCGCACACCATAGATTTGATGTTGAGCATCGTTTACATTCTATCCATTACTGCTTTAGCAAATTTGGTTATTTTGCTGTGTCAAAGTTTCTACAATGAACTGATGCCCGTGCTGCAGCGCTATAACCGCTTTAGCACTTTTAAATAATTACATAAAAAACTCAAATCGCTACACGTTCTAAAACTAACAACACGTGCAGCTAATAATAGATTTTCTTCCTCCGAGCTAATGATCACCAATGTTCAAACTTCTATGAAATTGGCGCCTTTTGCGCGACCAGTGGGCCTTCTATGAATTTGTCACAAGAGGAATGTCATATAGTCCTTAGTCACAAACCCAACCCTGCAATTCATGATACACTTGTGTGCACCGGTGTGTGAATTTAATTAAGCAGAAAGGAATCCGCGAAGTTAAATCGATTCGTCAGTTGAGGTCCAAGAAGAACTTGTGCATATTAAGATGGTTCAGTGTACTTGGGTTAATAAAAAGTTCTATTTACCTACCTCCAGGTATGCAAGACTACAATTACATGGAAACTAATTGTTTTGAAATAACCTTGGAGTTGGGCTGCAGCAAATACCCCCCAGCGAAGGACTTACCGCGTTATTGGGAAGAAAACAGGAAGTCCCTGCTCAATTTCATCCTTCAGGTTTGTAATATGTGAACTCAGTAACTAGGTTTACCTGCTTTTTCTTCCAAAATTGTTGGAAGAACCCAAAAAGTATGTCGTCACAATTCCAGATATGAAGGGATCTTGTCTTTCAATTTCACCTCATTGGAATGCTCCTGAGAAAATGCGTGGTGCGAGCAACCTAAGGTGTCTTTTGGTCCGTTTAGCATCTATTAACAACCAATGCTGATAATATTAAAGTATTGTGCTCTACTAAATAAGATTTTTTTTAATTCCTATATCATTCATCAGAAAATTAGTAGCGTTTTTAAAAAAAAGGCTGTACGTCTAACGTTTACAATGTCATAGGCTCATGAGGGCATCAAAGGATTCGTATTCGGCTACCAGGATGGTGAGGTCAAGCCCCTTTCCAATGCAATCATCATGGTGATGAACGTGACCTCTAGAAGAAATCCAGAGTTAATCAACCACCCGATCTATTCAAGTATGTTTGGGGCGTTTATAAAGTCTTAAAGCTTTGAAGAGTGGATTTTTCTTGGTTTTTAGATAACTGTTTTATGAAACAAATTAGAATGCTACCAACAGTGTGGCAAATTATTTGACTGTTCACGACGACAATGGTAGTGGTGGGCAAATGCAACAAAGTGTTACTAAACCACATTTAACAGAGTAGATTATCGGTCAGACTGCGTTCGGTTTGAAACTCAAAGGACCTCTAAGATATGTTGACAGGGCTGTGTTCCAGTATATTGCTTACCTAAGACTTGAAGACGGTGGCCCTGAGAGAATTTACTCTCCTCTAACTGAGCTGTTAATGGTGTCTTTTTTTATTTAACAAGAAAAAATAACGTTTTGGATGTGCGGCTTTTCACATTAAAATGTTAAGTAATAATTGTGACAGTTAAGATACCTGCTTACGTGTTTGAAGGCATTTTAAACGTATTTGGCCGGCAACTCCTTACATTGATCATTTTTACTTGGTAACTCCATTAATCTCACTTGTATTCTGTCATATGGACTTTAAAAGTCCGACTTTTTAGACTGCAATTAAACAGACACTATTTTCCCCATTACAAGATTGCGTCGTCGAATCGTTTGATATTCCTTTTATCTAATAGCACTTATGCAAATTTTAATTTTATGTAGCAGTGTTGATTTAAATGCAAAAATAATTTAAAAAATTTGTTGGAGGTTGGTAGAGCCCACACAGATAAGGGAGACATTGAGCAAGATATTTCATTCAAATTCGTTTTACTTTCTGCTCCAAATTGCACTATAGTTCCAATCCTAATCAAGGTTATGTTATGCAGATTTCAATTTAAATTGGTAAAGTGTTCTTATATAGGAGTGCAAGTATTTGTGGTAAAATATGTTAAAATTAGTGACCTATTTGAGCGAAAGTGTAGCCCAGTGTGGGCCAATTGCACCCAAACGTACTACTAATTGTGAAGAAGCAACACACAGTTCACATGTGCGCAGCTTTAAAGGCAAGACGGAATCACAAACCGCGTAAAATGCCATTCAGACACAAAATTGCCTCTTTTAATTTCTCGTTCATAGTTTGCTATTTTGTCTAATATTTCCTCATTGGAGATTACTGATGCGAGAAAAAATGACAAACAGGTAGCTAACATAAAAATCAAGTGATAACACATTCGTGCAAGGTTATTTGCTTGAGATTATTTTGCTCTTTAATGGGCCATATCTTAACACGAATCTTCACGCTTTTACTGATACAATCACAGCCAGAGCCACAATCTACGCGTTGATTTTTGCACATCAAAACTGGTCCTGTATCATCTCCAGAAATTGATTAAAGTGCACTTTTGATTTGCCCAATCGATTTTTTTAAGAGTCGATATGATCATCTATCAGCTTCTGGGTGGTGAATTAATCTATCACATTACCAATTGGTTTGCCGTACCGCCTGGCTTAGGGTATCATGGATGTCGTTTCATAACCCCAAAATTGTTTTGAAAACAAGTTTAAAGTAGTGTAACATCATCACAAATCTACAGGACATTTATCGTAATGGGAATTACTCATTGGTACTTGAATAACCAAATGTGTCAAGACTTTTACTCTGTATTTTTCTTGCTTTTCAGACAAAAAGGGCGACTACTTTCGACTCCTGACCAAAGGTCGTTATTTCGTCGCAGCAATGCAACCGGGTTTTTATCCTGCCTTCTGGGTTGCCCACGTACCTGAGGCACCTGATCTCGACAGTAGACACTTTCATGAGGCGACTAAAATGAATTTTCTCCTCATAAAAGCTGACAAATCTACGCCCTATGGAAATGACGAGTATGTTGAAAAAGCGACCAGACTGATCCCTCCTACATTTCGAACCTCGTTCGTTTTGGGAAGCGAGGAAAGAGCGTGGCTAGACCACTTCTTGGAGCAACTTCAAGGATCCAGCGAAGTTATTGCAATGAGACATGAGGTATGATCGCTGACGAAAAACTCGGTATTAATTGATTAGACGAAGGAATGTGCCATTTCCCTCCTAATTAATTTGGCGACATTTTTTGCATTTAGGAATTCTCGGAGCTACTGACGCCATTGGAGGAATCACTAGGATTTCTAGAATAACTCTTCCAGGTTTTAAAGAAAGTCCTTTAACCAATTTCCCGCTAGTGGGGTTAACCACCAGAAAATGTGTTGTCCCGACCCTGTCTTGAGTTATTTTTGCTTGTCTTGTCACTTGAATACACCCTTGAGGTCCTACCTTTCAACTGAAGTAAGCTTCAGGATCTGGACTGGGATTTGTGCTTACTGACAAGTTTAGACTGAGGTGCTAGTTGAATCGACAGCAGTTATAAATCGAAGCAACTTTGAGACCATAACTGACACTATAGCGCAGGCCTTAATAAATACAAAGCAACTTCGTTTGATTTTCAAGTCGTGACTGCTTTCCAACGCTTAAAGGCACTACCAACAGGTTTATGAAATGCTCACGTCTAGTGCTTTAGAAAGTTCGTCACTGGCCCGAAACTAATGGTATTGGGCACAGGCGTGTAAATTTTGCCCGAAAGCAGTTGCAGAACGCCTACGGACGAATCATGTGGGTGTAGGCTGCCCTGACAGCTTTGTTTTGTAGTTTTTGTTTGCAACAGGTCGCACCGTTTAAACACTGAAGTGGTTTGTCATACCCTAGACACAGACTTTGCACACTCATTGATAAAAATACTCTTGGCAGTTTTAAGAACGACGAGACAACTAAACGAAACACAAAGTACTCGTAAATATCATGATTGAGAATTTTCTTGTTAAGCTGGTTTCTCCCCAAAGTATTATGCAAGATGGGAAAATAAACAAATAACACAAGTGTACTTATTAACAATTCAGTAATATCTTTAGACAGCATGGACCATTCGCTCTTTGTTGATGAGATGAGTGGCCTCGTTAACGAGTGACATGAGAGACGTGACGTTGTGAGACCAATCATTGAGTACATCGGTGGCCAATTTCTTTTCGGTGAACTGAACAACGGCGTCAAGTCGGTCAATTTTCGCTTGCACAGTGTTACTCACGACTAACTTGGACAGACAATCCTCCGCCTCCTAGAAAGTTTAAATGGAATCGACAACTTTCATAATCAACCTTGACCTCAATAACTCCTTACATTAATATGGCAAAAACGACACCTATGGTGAGCACAGATCAACAGAGTGACCGGTAGCCTAGCAAAATGTCTTCAATAAAGAGCTAAAAGTGATTCGAATTTTGATCGTAAAACGGAAAACTGTGTTAAAGGAAAAGCCACCATCGAAAACAACGCGGAAATGCTACTTACAACCTTGCATAATCACATAGAAAGCAAATAAGTGCTAACAAGCTAATCACCGAAGCATCCAAAGCTTAGCCAGATTGAAATCAGAGCACCAATGGGAGCACTTCAAAACAAACTGCAGCAAGGAACGAGAGGTGGATTCCGTACGATTTTGATACGGAGCGAAATAATTGATGGGACGAAATGAGTTACCACGACAAACTTAAAAGTTCAGCCTTAATGGATTAGTGATTCTGCCTTATTTGGAATTATTGAAAAATACGGCCGACTACAGCCAACATTACGACCCTCTCATAGGGCTACAATAGAATTTCCATCCTACAGAATCCATTTGAAGGCAACGTTGCGCACTACAAAACAGAATTACAGAAGGAAAACACTACAACAAGTGGTCTTTAGATTTATTAACAAATAGAATATCGAAAATCGCGGAACTAATGTTGGGATCGGAGGTTGGCAGAATAATTTTAGGACTGGCTAAATTAATAGATAGTCAAAACACAGATCCGCATTTCAAATGATAACTAAGCCCGAATCAGTTGGTTTTAAATAGTTAGCGTTAAATTTTGCACCCGGCATATCGTTTAAATTGTATGCCGCATGCGCTTAAATTACAAGTTAAATAATGCAATGAAAAAATTACACAGTTTGCCGATGTCGGCACAACAAAAATGTGAATTTGCCAAGAAAAAACTAGAGACTTGTAGTTCTAAACAGTTTCAAATGCCCTGACGAAAAGGACACTTGAATTTGTAACAAGACCCACTTGAATCTATGTTTATGGACAGGGCCACGCAAAGTCTGCCGTAAATGGCCCCAATTTACATAAATATTCACTTCTACTGTTTGCATTCTCTCTCCAATCGACTTTTGACTGACGATGTTTCGTCACTAAAATAAATGTTTTGGCGCGTTTGATAAGGAATAAAATACCTAGCATACTTTCCTGTGTGCCCAGGTTATTTTCGGGAGCTATTTCCGTAAAGTTGTAGCCCTCTTCAATGTTAAGTTAGACATTTGCTTTGATACCGTCATGAAGTTCATACTGTTACCCCCACGACTCACCTCAATGTTCAAATTCAGAAGTTCGGCCAAACGCGAAAGACGTATCTGTGTGTAGTAGGCAGATACTACTCTAATGTTGTGTTCAGTGACGCGTTGCTGTAGGGCCTTAAGGGATTTTTCCGGATCTTTTCCACCAGAACTTGTAGAAAAAGCCAAGGTTTCCGACCTTAAAGTGGCTTCGTGTTGATTACGGAAGTCTTGCCAACTAAGAAGCTCTTGTGTAGTGAATACTTTGAGCATTGTGCTATAAAAAAACAGGATAGTAGCGAAAATTCGATGGGTAATTTGTGCATCTGATTCAAGTATGGATTACCTGAATAGAACAAATTAAGAAAACGCTATTTGAAAATGCCATGAACCAGTAAAAGGGGCAAAATTAGCATAGAGAAACCAACGTGGGTCAAGGCACCAACAGCCGACATAAGTGCCGCTATCACCGCATAGACAAGGCAATGGGACAAAAGTTAAAAGAATGACAAAAAACCAACCGATTTTCGTGCTCACTGTTACAATCACGAATATACCGCAAATGCTATAAAAGTCAGGATATTAAACAAGCTGTGTAGGTTTGCAAAACTAATATCGGTAAGTCAGCGACTAATGAAAATAAGATCTCATTCGGCTAAAATGTGGGAGAGTGAACGGTAGATTTTTTTGCAAAAGAAATCGGTTGTCTCGGTGCATTACAAGCAATACCACAGCAATTTAATGATCGCATTAACACGCTAGGTATTCGTGAGAACGTAAATGTAAGAAAGGCTTACATGTACTCAGGCATCGACTCTAGATCACGTAGCTTCATTCGGCGATACATTAAGTCATGTTGCTCATTGTCATATGGTGATAAAATAAGGTAAACAACAATGTTGCAAAGAGCCTAACTAGTCAGGTTTACAATAGTGTCATTACATTTCGCTTCTCCTGTTCGTTTTCTTGAACCAATTTGGTGTTATATATTTCCCAAAAATGTTTGCTTATAGATAGGTACGCATCATGTTGGATATCAACTTCTATCATCTGCTTATAGAACTTCAGTTTTAAGTCCTCTGTTCCTTCTTCGCGGAAATATTTTGGGGAGATTTTCCGGCTTAGTATTTGCGTCCTTGTATAATCTTTTTTCGCCAAGCACAACCTCATCTGCTCCAAGATAAATTCGACCTTCTCGCGCTTTTCCATTGAACCAAAAGTTTCAACCTTAACTTCCTGAAGTACATCAGCCGCTTCTTCTATCAATCCCTTTGATTCTTTGATTGCTGATAACATTCTTGTCAAGCGAGCCCGTTCAACTTCAACGTAAATCTAAGAAATTACATACACACTAAAAATACAAAATACCTTTCCTTCAGTAACAGCCCTCAATGTAGAAATCAGACCCAGTTTCGCTGCTTCATCCGTAACTACATCAATATATTTCATCGCCGCCTGGACCATTTTAGTAACAGCTTGTTTCAGTTGGTTCCTCTTTTTCGACATTATAACCAACTGTTCACTTAATTTTTGCCACAGTCCTTTATCGCCTAGCATCTCAACTATGCAAACTAGGAGTCGTCCTGTTGAGATGGCATCTGCTGCCTAACTCATACATAATAAGGGTGTCAATTTACCGTTCTTGTTTGTTTTTCAAGGATACTACATTTTTCCAATGCCTCATCGATTTTACCGGACTACAAGGCATAATGATCGAATTTTGGCTCACCTCTGCAAGAGATTTAAAAATTGGTATTTGTTGATCAACAGTAGCCGAAAAATCCTGTTCCATTTTCTCCAAAGCCATGGTCGAGAACAGCACCTTCTGCTGCAACCTCCTATGACTCAGACACAAACGATTAACATATTCCAAATTCGACTATCATTGGTGAAATTTAATAACCTCAATTAATCCAATCAATTAAGGACAAATTAAACTTTTTGAGTTTTTATTACGTACATTATTATCTTGCTCAGCGACTGCTTCAAAATAGGGTTACGACTGCTAGGGTTTGTATTCTTTAGGACAACTGATGATTTGAGTAAGTTCTCTTGCCTTTAAAGGTATTTGTCAAAGTGTAAATAGTGAAAATTCAAAACTATTTCTTACCTTAAGCCTTTAATAAGCATGCACCTTTGGCATAAAATTTTGGTATTTACAATGGGGATCTGATAGTGTGTTGGAACCAAAGTGATGGGAGCGGACAGTCTGATAAACGTCCACGTAGCAATTTTCATTGGTCTTATTGCTCCTAAGGTACTAGGATGTGTCCCACTTCACATGCCACTCGAAGTCCAAATAATATCAGTGTGAATGAAATTTATGCCTATAATGCATATTCTGTCTCCTCGCAAATTCTGCTTACTCCTCACTCTACAGGAAGGATTAGTTAGCATCATGAAGCTGATCAGTTGATGAGTTAGAAAAAATTATCAAAAGTAAGGTGGACATATCTCACTAGATGGATCATCGTCAACTCTAGCAAAGGTAAGATTGGCTAATATAGGGACGGCACCACATGAAAAGGAACACGCGAATTGGTATAAAGACAAATTTGATATTTTCTGGTTGATTCTGGTTAAAGTGTTTGAAAACCAACTTACTTTATCCTCACGTTTTAAAATTCCGTTAGCTAAGGAGACTCTGACATATCTGTTGTTACACAAAAGTAATCTCGACCCTGTGTCCAAAGTCCTCTGATTGGAGGTGTTGTAGTGGCAAACGCAGACTGCCTTTGACATCTAGCCGTATATCCAAAATAGTATTTTGGAATTATAGGCATGTTTGTCATATTATGAAATAAAAATGACTTTTCCTATCTCATGCGTCAGAAACTTGGATAGACTTTGTAAAATGTCCAAAATGGAGGGTTTCTGGTTGTTTTAAAACGTAAAATCTGTGAATTTTACAATATGGCAAAGGTTCTAAATTTATGTATGTTGTTGTCAGTATTGTCTACATGTGTATTTAGTCATTTGCCTCTGTTTTTATTAATTATTACAACATCCGGTAGATCTTTGCTTCCGTTTTGACATTGAATAGCAAGTGTCGCCATCTTGGCGTTACTTATCGCAAATCAATTTGAATAAAACAAATTTCGATGACGTTGAAAAACAATTTCTGCAGGAAAAATCTGCAGGCTTAGACTGTTATGCTTGCCAGTTGGAACGTTTGAAGGACCAATTTTGCCATTTTCTAGGAGCAAATAAGTCACCAGAATATTAAAAAAATAGGAATGTAACAAAGCCGATGAACCTTCTGTTCAATATTGAAGGATTAGTGTAAATCCTAGTAAATTCAATGTAAAGTTTTTCAAAAAAGACTTAGATCTTGTCAAAATGAGTGTTTTACATTGCCAACAAGGGCACGCACATTATAGAGACAAAGTGCTCAATCGATGCCTGAAATGCCTTTTTTGGGGTTGCAATTGTAGTAATATCGTTATCAAAAGGTAAAAAATTCTAAATCCAAGTACTGAATCTTTGATAAGCATTAAAACGTTTTTGAATTATGTGCAACTTTGCAATTAGTTTTTACGACTACCTAAAGTATAACCTGCTTCCTGGTAAATCTACCCTAATTAAATAACCCAAATAATTAAGCTTTCGCTGTGTGAGGGGACGCGGTCACTGGAACGTCTTATTTCCTAAATAACCCGCATGTTTGACTTCCATCGCGTATTGGTGTCCAGTTATATTTATTTTACAATGTGTACTAGAATTTAATCCCAGCAATGTGTTATGTTGGACGCTAACATTCTCGACGCTAGGTTTGATCACGTACATTGTTTGAAACTTACCGCACTCGATAGATTTCCGTTACAATTTGACTTTTGTTGACCGTTCCATCCGATGGCCAGAAGAATTCCTAATGCAAGACATCGCTGATAAGATCGTAGCAAAAACGTTTGTGGACAGATGGATCTCATTATTTGGAGTCCCCTCCACCATCACCACAGATTGAGGAAATCAGTTTGTTACAAGCCTGTTCCGAAATTTCACACGACTTCTTGGGACGAACCGTATTCGAACAACCGCCTACCACCCAAAATCAACTGGCATGGGAGAACGTTTTCATCAACAACTAAAAGGTGCTTTAACAGAACACAGTAACCCATCTCGTTGGACGGAAGCCTTATCCCTCGTACTACTCGGAATTCGATTGGCCGTAAAAGAGTTGAAGTGTTCCTCTGCTGAAGTGGTTTTCAGAACAATATTGAGGCTACCTGGGCAGCATTTTACCGCGACTTCTAAACCAGCGTGGCCGAACCCATACAAATACGTCGAACGATTACGGGAGACAATGAACAATGAACCGTGCTCACAGTCCACTGTTTCAGTCACCCAGAAAGAGTTGTTCACATGCACTCACCTTTCCATCAGACACGATGCCCTTCATCAACCACTTCAACCCATCTACGACAGACCTTGCAGAGTGCTCAGACAAAAAGGAAAGGTTTTCATCGTTGACTACAATGGAAAAGAAGATGCCGTATCTATCGACCGACTCAAGCCAGCCTTCCTTGACATGGAGACGCCGGCAAACAACAAGTCCCAGGCGCAGCCAACCCCCGTCTTTTCAGACAATAAAAAAGTGGTTACCACTACATGCTCCGGCAGACACGTTCATTGGCTCAGTCGATACACAGCTTGATGGGAAGACAACCACAGGACAGATGGGATACCATTGATCGCTCATGGCGTACAGTACTTGTAAACGCACACAATCACGCTATAATAAATTAGCTCAGCTACGCGGTATCCGCATTTCTACTCTTCTTTCGGTGGAGCCGTGTCAACATAAGTCTTTGGCCCTGGTATGGGACTCTAACCGCACTGGGGCCTGCTACAGAACACAATTTATGTTTAACCATTTGTATTTTTGTTTGTGCGTCATTTTGCTTTGGCAACAAAAGTCAATATCTTATAACCGAACAGCATATTTTATCTCTTCACCAAAGTTTTTTTAATATTGTTAAATTTACATAAAAATAACCGCGTATTACTAAATTTACTAATTGTTCATATGAATGGATGGCTTCAATGCACATGAGTCCTCCTTATTAGTAAAAACTGTGGATAAACGAACATTTTATATCCAATGAGCAATATCGTGTCTACATTAAACATGCTGGTAAAAATCTTACCATTTGTTGAATGACTGCTGAATAAAATTCTGACCAATCGGTTGCAAAAATTTTTTATTCATTGGTGAAATTTGGTTATATTTGGGCCTTTCTCTATGTGATAACGGATTTCTGTCACGTTATTGCTTAGAAGCTGGTCGGATATTTCTGCTTAATTTTTTAAATTCAAACATATTATACTGCTTGAATTTCAACAAAACTGATTTAACTCTAATGGCGGCAATTTTTCCACTGAATTAAAAATATATTAAACAAATTATATTCATGACAATTAATTTGTGATATCGTGGTTTCATTTTTCTCTATTGGCGCTAATTAATCAAAACGTTAAATTGTAGTAGGAGCTAGTTTTAGGAAAGATATCATACTATTTCCTTTTTGGATACGTTTAATAGACGTCGGAACTAGATGCAGACATAGTTTAATTTAAATTGCTGCTGCTCTGTAGAACATCCGCACTAAGTTCTCATGATCTTCACAAGTTGGCCAACAACCAATTGTTTATTAATTTGTTGGCATTGGCTTGGTTATTCATCCAACCACTGTTCAGTATGTAGTCTCACAATATACAAAAGTACCGCAGATGCTAGCAACTGCTTAGTGATAATGAGTAATATAACCCAGGAGAATCAATCCGAAATAGATATTCAAAAGTATTTTGGTACGTTTATCTAGTAAAAATTCTTGGGATTCCCCGTTGGCTTGTTTATTTCATTGAATTTAAGTGACACGTCTTCCAAAAGCAAGTTTTATCTGTCTGTAGTAATCGAGATGGGAAATATGACCGTGTTTAGGAAACATAAATATGCCACATTTATGACCAGTATACTAAATTAAAGTCACGAAAGTAAGTGGTACATAACAACATTCAGACTAGTTTGTAAACTTCAAGCTGCTCAATCGATATTGAATGTGCATGCAAATTAAACCATTTCGCAACTGATTTGAGAATTGTTCTTTTGTTGCGCACTTTTAATGCTAACCTTTTCGTTACATACAGAGATGCAAGCCTCTTTACCAGGGCCAAGTTTTACTATAGCTTAGCACTTAATTCAAATCTTTTTTCCAAGTATAGAAATATTACGCTTAAGTTAGGGTTAATATAAAGGTTAATCAACTAAAAATATTAGGATGTAAAATGCATTGTGGCAGGACTTCCAGATTTCTGGTCTAGCGGGATTTTTTCAACCTTATTGTGGCCTAATCGACCGTCCTATCAAAACTCTTTGGAATATTTCAGGCATAAGTCAGCAAGTTACGTAGGCTTGAATTAGTTATTAGAAACGTGTACACCGAATTCAATTAATTGTTTGAATAAAATACAAATGAAGCTAATTTTCCTTAAAGTTAACCGGTACCAGTCGTGTGTCGGTGTTGTTAGGCACGCACGCCTACCGCTGTATTGTCCAATCTATCGCTTGAATTCACCACGCTTACTGTAGAAATGAGCTTTCTAGCAACCTCGTGTTATACCTATTCTGCTTTTCAACTTCATATTTTAGAGATGAGTTCAGTGCTAGAGATTTCCATTGGCCTTCAAGTTTAAAATTGATGATAGACAATAAACAATGTTTGAGTGCCTTAACACCCATGAACAAAATAGAACGACTGGCTTTCCCATCTGGTTACATTTCTTATATTACCTAAAAATCTGATATGATTTATAACAGCTTAGTCAAAGCATCCCTTTAGTGAATAACCTAGTTTTGGATTTCATAGAAGGCAGACTTTTCTGCTTACAATGCAGGTGTTTCCACGCAACGTCTTATTAAAAGTTAACTTCACGTTGTTCGCCATCTTTGGTGTATTTAAAGTCCTTATTCGTTAATTTTTAGGATCGAGTCCCCAGCCGCAATGTGGACATAGTTACTCGAAATCTGCATATGCACCACCCGAGCAACACAACAGTTTTCACAACCAAGATTTTTTAAAGTCTTCGTGTATGTCGCTAACACGGAGACATGCGTAGTTTGAATTTTGTGGCCATGGCCTGTTCTTTCAAGTTGCCGTTCCTAGTTCTGGAAATACCATTTCTCGCAAGTCGATTTTACCAGCAGAAATCTCATGATTTTATTTGTGATAGGCATCTTGAGAAAGAGTACCTTAAGAATTCAATGTTTAAGTTGATTAAAGATGCAAAATTTGAACAGAGGTTTACAGAACACTGCCCATAACGTTATGTTTGACACATTACTCGTATTTTGGATAATCAAAAAATAGCCCTTGTAATTGTGTTTGGCTTTTGCGGATATACACATCATAACACTTCCTACTATGTCTAAAACGGAACTTTCTTGAAAACAAATTTAGCTGTAAAGATGACCATTGCCAGGTTAACCATCAATATATTGACACCGTTCGTTTAGTTGATTTCTTTCATCGGAATTAACACCCCTATTGCAAAATGTTAAATGCCCACTTGAGGCTCAACCATGCCGAGTTAAAGCTAATTCACCTCTTACTTCTGAGTTCGACTATTTTCTAGATGAACTTCTACAAATGACTGCCTCAGATTTCAGTAAATGCTTAACCCTGGAGAATCACTGTGGTTCACGAGCTCCAGTCCCACGCCCTGCTTCAAGCAACACTCCTCGCGTCAATTTTAGCAACCACCAATTAACTGAACTGGAAAAAGAATTTCATTTCACACATTATCTTACGCGAACTCGCCGATCTGAGATTGCTGGTGAGTTGGGAATTTCGGAAACCCAAGTGAAAATATGGTTCCAAAACAGACGGATGAAGTTAAAGAAGCGTCTCAAGAATCACCAGCTTGTCTAATTGTGAAGCACTATAAATAATGTTGTATGTTGAAAACTCGCCCTGTATCCAAATAATGTCTTCGTGGTCCTTATGTGAACAAACGCAATACGACTTATTTGAAGCAATAAAATTAAAAATTCCTTTCATTTTTCAAGGTTTCCCCTTGCAGAAAAAAATAGCATCACTTCACCTTTTTTTCACTTTTAGATTTTGATTAAGTAGGTGCCGCATTTAAGTCATGAACACAAGGAGCAAGCAATCGATAACCAAATTACCTCGCGTCTATTTACAGAAATTACCTCGAGCAACCGTCGCGTTCATCTAACAAATAACTAAGCGGTTGTATTTTCAATATTTGTAACCAAGACACGTCGTGCTTAGGCTAAATTGAATAAAGATGCTCAGTTTGAAAAGACACATTATTAAGATTGGGAAAAGAAAAACATCGAATATGACTTTTTGATGTGATCAGAGGAAAATATAAAGTTTGGTATTGGGGCGCAAAACAGAACCCGGGACAATAACTCTGAATCCTCAAGTTTGGCGAATACCCCTGAGCGTTGATAAACGAATGCTAATAAGTAGAAGTGAATGTAGTAACGGCCTATAAAACTTCAGTCTCTCGTCAGTGAGGGCCTTGGGTTTGGTGAGCTTGTGTTTGATTAAATTTACATGTTTGTATTTGAACCAAAAAAATCTAGTAATTTGAGGAACCCACATAATGAATTTTTAGACTTCACTTTGCCTTTCAGTATATAAACTTCTAAAAGAAAAAGCGCAAGTTTGAGCTTGTTTATCTATCAAAAGCATTATTCTTTGTTTGCAATAATCGCCAAAATATGTAAAATGTCTGTGTCTATCTGAATATAAAATGTTAAAAATTGCATGAAATAAAACATACTAACTATTCATCGGACAAATTATTAATCCGCATTGTTGATTTGAAAAATTAAGACTCAACGTAACCTCATCCTGTGGTTAAACTTAATGATTTCAATTTTACACAAGCAGACGGAATCCACTTCAACATAACTGCACCTTCATGAGTGAGCCATAGGTACATGTGTGACGTTTTTGGCATTTTGGGTAACATAGATCGGCGACGCCACATTGAAGTAGGCTTGCTTCTTACTTTGGGAAAACAACATCGCTAAATTGTGAACAAATTTTGCTCTATATTGAGCTGCCATTGTAGGTTTTTTTAAATAGCACTGAACGGTGCCAAACATACATGTTGCATTGGACGACCGTATATGAGGCAAAAATGAAGGCTAATAGCGATTGGCCGGAGTTACCTTCAATAAACTTACGACTTCTAGAAAATTTACCAGTTTCACGGATGGCGAGGAACCTTACCATTTAACAAAATAACAGCTATACTTCTGCTTTTATGCTGTTACTTATAGATGATGTAGGCATTTTTTCACGAAATTAATGAACGGTGAAATGTGGATTCTGTACAGTAGTACTAGTTAACGCAGAATGAGTCTGCGCATCCAACTACATAGGTGGTAGATCTTGTGGAATTGGAAAGCTTTCTACTGAGTCTTTTACTAAACTTTATCATCAATTCCACCTGAACTGTTCATTATCAATTAAATAGAATGTCAATACTAGGAATAGGTAAGAGGTAATTCACCAAAACAACACCCAACCACATTTTTTGTAGGGTCTGAAAGAGATGCCTAGTTGGAACATTGTAGTAAATCGTACACCAGGATTTCAGACCATCATCAACTAAGAGATCTACACAAATCGCTTAGTGCGACTGATTTACTTGTCAAAACAACTTGCATTATAGTTTTTAAAATCGATTCCGTGGATTTCTACAAGTAAACTTTTTGGCCAAAAGGGAAGTGGAGGTCGGCTTTTAATGTCAAGGACACTTTAAAAACTCGACATTTGCCCGTTACGTTTGCCCGTACATAAGATAGCTCCCACTCAGAAAACCGGCAGCCCAGATCCCTTATCAGACGTTAGCCCTCGCCTTCCTACGCTAATGCAAGACAAGACCTCGTGCTGAGAGGTCGGTCAAAATGTCAACACTTACATAAGTCAAGAGTGACCTTGACATGATGGATAAAAACGGATTAATACAGAGGAGGTTGCCGGAAGGTTTCCGTTGGTGACTCCCCCACTGTAAACTATGACGAAGAACTGGCGATGAGTCATCTCGGGGAATCCTAGATCCCCAAAATTTCCGGATTTTATAAATAACAGATTTTAAATGCTCCAAAAACGGAACGAACATGACTAAAACAAATTTGTCTACCGAGAAGGACTAAAGTGCAATAACTCTAAACGATAGAAATAAATTGTCATTAATTTGATGTAAATCATTCGTGAGACTATTTTCGTCCACAACGAGAATCCGTGAACATCATGCCCTTATCTTTATTAAAGGTCTTCTTAAAGACTAATTTTATCAAGGTGTTGAATAATACAGGGTGAATAACGTCTCTGATATATCTACGATTGGCATTTGTGGTTCAGTTTTCATTGTCACAGAAGATAGCGGATATTTGAATGGAGCTAATGCTCCAAATTTTCCCCCTTACGGAGCCGTGCAGTGATCAGCCAAACAAACTCTGGTTTTGAGATCGGTAAAAGCACAACTTTAACACAGCAGTTTTTTCCATGCCCAAATTTTACGACGACCATGGACCAATGGGCCTAGGGAATCTTGGTCGGCTTTGAAAAACGACACTTTTACCAAAATATCTCACCATAGTAATGCTGTGGGCGTGATTTTAGATGGACCATAATCTTAGGGGTTAAAAGGGATTGAATGTTGCTTATTATTGCCATCTCCAAAATTAAGAACTTGTACTACTGGGAGACAATGTTACATGATTGGTTGGGCCATTGTATATTTATGATTTTCCTAGATTTCTATAATTCATAGATATTTTACCTTTAGTAAATTTATAGGTGGTACCAATCTGCAACTGAAATGATTTATAACTGCCTATAAAGACAGAATTCTTATGTGGTTTTCGTTCAGTGAATTCTTAAACTTGTGAGCCATTGAGCAAATTAATAGGCCTAAATTTACACGTGTTTGCGCATTTATTTCAAGTTGTTTCACATAGCACACTTATTCCTAATGCATTTTTATTTTGTGCTTATTTCGTATTAGAAAAAAAATCGCTCATATTTGATAAAATTTTGACTACACCTCTATTTCTCCAAGTTTTATCCGAAAAACTTCGAAAACTTTGAAGACTAATTTCATGCTACCAATCAGCATTGTCTTTTTCGATTAAACTTTGCATTCAAGATGAGAGACAACAGATGTCAATTATTACCCTTAATTCAAACGAAAACTTGAAAAAAATACTCTGCATTAAATTTTTTTATACATAGCTATTAAAGTAAGATAATTTATTTCCCTATTTCTAAAATCAAGGTGGTTCTTTGAAACAGTACGAGAGCAACTATATTTCATTTTACGTTTGTAATATAGTTTACTTCTGATTTCTAAGTCACTCCTGGTTTCGCAGTACTGCGGCACACGAAAATGCTCACACACTCTCGAAGACACGTGCAGAGGTAAACTAGATTAAACGTTTGTTTCCATCGCGGTTGGGCCTAGTTTTTCAGCAAGGCCCACGAGGGAATCAATGAACATGGTAGTCGGCCATGCATAGATGGTCGCAAAGAGGTGTTTTCCAATACGATCTTTACCTTTTGGTGCTAATCTTTCTAAGTGTGGTGGGGTAGGACAATTTGTAAATGCCACGAAACCCCTGTATAATCCTTGTACAAAAAATACTTACCAACTGAAAAATAACTGGTTTTATGACAGGTAAAATGGCAACTTTTATGCATGTATTCATGTAGTTTCTACCTAACGGCAATATTGCTACTATTCTCAGTCAAAACGCACAAAATACTAGGTGTCAATAAGTCTTTCCCTAATTTTGATTTACAAATAAGATGCACTGGGGGCATATTAAATTATGAAAGCGCATTAATCAGTAGCATTGTCTGAACAATTTTAAGTATTTTTGTACATTGACAGTGTGGGTAGTTTCAAAATAGCATTTTTATGATAAAAGTCGTTTTCAAAAGTGCATCAATATGAGCAGATTCCAATAAAATTCTGAGCGTTCAGCAGATTTTCTTTGTCAGAATATTAGTCTAAAGCACAGTTTCTAAAATACTATCTAATCACGATTACAAGTCATGTGTACGACAATTGCTCACAATCGTCATTAGAATTTTAGAAATAGTTTGAGTTGCCATCTTGTACCGCAATTTAGGTTCAAGTTGATTAAAGATATAACTTAAAAAAATCATTAAACCCATGTAAAATAGGCGTTCAACAATTGTTCCATGTAACTCATCCATGAAATTGGCTTCACGTCACTCGTTTCTATAAATTAACGTCAATCCCTATGCAAAGACAGTTGGTACGAAGCCAAGTCTACCAATTAACACACCTTTTTTTCTTAAGTCAAACGGAACCTCGAAACTTGATATTAAAATTATGCAATTTCAGCCCAGTAACTTCGTTAAAATTTCCTTTAACTGTTATAAAATCAGTTCTGAAAACAACACGAGAGATAATAAACTATTCTACATGCATCATTACGTTAAATTTGTGATTAATTGAAGTTTTTCTCTGTAAAAACGAGAATAATGACAATTTTTGGCGGTAATTTAGTGTGAGGCTTGCCGGAGGATTAGCGTAACGTCATTGGGAAAATAGATGATTCATAGTCGAATGAGTTTATTTATAATGCAAGCCGTCAATTAGATTTTCAATGGTAAACCACTTTTTGGACAGAACACGACGTTTGGGGAACAAACACCAGGAGTTGTTTTAGGCCCAGCATGTGATCTTGAACCACGCCGGGGCCACGGAATTAACCCTGGTCTGATTACGTTTCCCTGATACCAGCGATGTAGAAAAAGACCGGAGAGAACGTGGACACAACCGTTTACTTCAGACCTCCACCACATTGGTGTCGTTATGTCGTTTGTGGGGTTTGCGCGTGTGTATTTATGCCTCAGATGCATGAGTCATAGATGCGCTAACATCGAGACCCATGTGTGAGGATAATCCAAGATAAATATGCGAATGAGGGGGGAGATGAGGATCCGCGCGGCTGGCGACATACTGCGAAAAGGAGAACGTTGTGTCGGAGGATGGAGCGGCCGGATTAAGGGGTGTGAACAAACACGGTTCACAACAGTCTTGTCACCATACTGAATTTAGATACCATAAATCACTTAACAAGATAATGAAAATTGCGGCGAATAATTGTTGGCTTTGTTTCAAAATTGTAACATATTTAGTCTTAAAGAAACGATTTGTTGTTAAATGACACAACATAGAAGCAATTAACTGATTTAAAATTGCATGAACTAGGGTAAACACTTTTCCAACCTCACGTAATTTTGATTGTTTAAGAATGTGTGTTGGTTTGCCGAAATCTTGAGCAACTGTGAAATGCATCAAAAATCAAAATAAGGGGAGAATCAGATTTAATGTTCACCTTTTCGTGTACAATACAAAGCTAGATATCTTAAACACACTTATCTCTAAAATTGTGATTCCTTTGGATTTCAACTGTGTTTCAGTGATAAAGATGAATTTATTGTAATGGCTACAAGTTTTAATAAATGATCATACTAAACTGTACAGAAATACAAATGCCATATCTGCGTGAGCTAAAAATATACAGAAGAAGTTGTTGAAATGCAAGAAAAAATGGACGCAAACTACCAGAAAACTTAATAACCCCTAATCTACCTCACGGATACTAATTTATAAAATTTTTTTTGGAAACGCATGCACGAAATTCAAATTCAGTCATCTCGTTTAATTGGTGAAAGTAATTGGTTTTCAGTGTAAAAATTAGTCAACAATTTATTCCCCAGAATATTGATATTTTGAAGCCAGAAATTGTAATTATGGTGAAACCTTTGACTCTAAAGTTGGTATGCGTTTTTTTGACCACAAATAGGCATGAGCGATTAACAGCGGCCCAGAATGTGTTTTAATAATTGAGATCATTCCTTGGCTCGCTGGAGCGTCCCAACTAAATTTGCACCAATTGAGGAATAGATCCTTGCTTTTTAAATTGGATTTTTTTCTAAAAGAACGTTAAAATAACACACATAGTTTTGTGGGCAGGATTTATTAAGGCTTTGCAAAAATTAACTGATCAGTATTAAATTGCGTCGATAATTTATAATTTATATTGTCAAATTAATGCATAATCAGCAGAGAAATTTACCATCTTTACGCTGCAAAAATAATTTCAATGTCTAAATAATACGAATGATAAGATTTGATCATTTATATGTCACAGTTTTAATAGAATGAATCAGACTTTCGTCTAGTTTGCGGCGTTCATGGTCAATTTTCTCAATGAAATTATTTGGTTGATGAATAGGATAAAATAAAATAAATTTGACTTCTTTGACTTATTAGTTTGAACTGTTTTATTGAGCGAAAATCCAAAGTTGACGTTAACTTCGTTTGATTATTCATTGATAAATCCGCGTTGTTAAAATAGTCGAGATTCGGTTCGGCGGCTTGTCTGTTTATCCTGTACTAACGATGGTTGTCAAATTCGGTGATGTTGAGCTCCAGAAATTTACTTGTGATTCATTTCAATGTGAACCCATTGGAAGCGGTCTCTCACTTACCGTTAATGTTGGCCACAAGGTGGTACTGCTATTTGCTAAGTAAGGAGTTTTTTTCAATATTATTTCCAAGAAATGCAAAGCACGTAATTGAATTGACTATCGGTTCTTGTAATGAGTTCAGTCGTTGTTTCGAAAAGTGTGCAATTGTATACGCAGGTGACTTCGACATCTCATACATCGTATCCTTTGCCGAATCGGATGACTTGTTAAGGTTTATGGTACATATATTGAAGTTTTTTTCTTGACTGCTATTTAGGAGGTTTTGTATAAGTGTATTTCAATTGAGCCAAAGAATTTTGTTCGTGCTTCTGTTTTCGACGAAAGAACTGACTCCTGGTCGGCTGTCCAGTATTTTCAGTTCTATAGCTACTTGAGTCAACAACAAAACATGATGCAGGTGAAATATTTTCGTATTTCTCTTATATTTCCTATTATTATTATGCTAGCTTACAATTTATCCTTTCAAAGGACTATATCCGCACTTCTACTTATCAACGCGCAATTTTGTCTAATGCCAGCGTCGATTTTGCGGGTAAAGTTGTACTGGATGTAGGCGCCGGGTCTGGTATTCTATCATTCTTCGCAGTACAAGCTGGAGCAAAACGGGTCTACGCTGTTGAAGCTTCCAATATGGCTGAACATTGCCAAGTCCTTGTCAAGTCTAACAAACTTGCTGGTCGTATAGTTGTTGTCAGGTATTTACGCTATAATGCGTCTGCACGTTAAACCTGATTGTGATTCTTTTTATCTAAACCCAAAAGGTTGTTTTTTTTGTTGCATAAATTTTTATCGCAAATATTGTGCAAATTCAATGTCTGATATTACGTTGGTCACTTTTGCATGGTGTCAAGTCAAATTTCGCACGGGTAAATAAGAGATGTGTGTTTATTTATTTTAGGACACGTATTCTGTTCTCCTTATAACTTCAGTGTTTTTCCTGGAATATTTCGTTTTAGTGGGAAAATTGAGGATATTACTCTACCCGAGCCAGTTGACGTAATAATCTCGGAACCAATGGGTTATATGCTCTATAATGAACGGATGCTAGAAACTTACGTACACGCGCGCAAATTTCTCGCGCCTCAGCATCGTGCTAGGCGAAGAAAGAATGTCGATGAAAACGGTGACTCCGATTTGGAGATGCGGGACATCGCAACCTGCACTGCTAACTTCAGTGGAGATCAGGAGGTCATTGCAGAACCCAGACCCGGTGTTATGTTCCCTTCTGTTGGCAAGATGTTTATTGCACCTTTCTCTGACGAAGCTCTCTTTGCCGAACAATACACAAAGGCAAATTTTTGGTATCAACAGGTACATCAATAAAGTTCCATATCCAAACTTTCTTGCAAATTGTAAGCTCGCCTTCATAACTGCCAAAATTTGATTGCTCTGCTACGTTGCAGTTGATTCATATGTATTGGGGTTTTAACGCTTCAAGGTGTCGAAGCCTGGCTATAAATTATTCGTTTATTATAATTTAAGGTCCTGGCTATTCCATTTTTAGTTCAAGAGGAAGTGGAGTTAATGGTATCGAATACAGTGGATTTCTTGGGCTTTATTTGAAAACCTCCCTTCAATAGACAGTCGTTCTTACGTCGTTCTGTTACAACCCTTTACTGAACAACCTTAGTGGACAATTACTGACAATAAATTAAATTCAGAGCTGGTCAAGCTATTTATTTAGATTTTAGTTTTTTCTTTCAGATACTATTGTGGTGAGTCAGAAAATATCTACTGGAAATAAGTACTAGTTTCATGGTGTCAGTTTGGCCTTAAGTGGCCTTGATTGATTTAGTCCTCTTACACTGGATTTCATGGTATTGTTGTTTTACCAATACCAGCAACATTATTTATTTTTGTTATTTTCGCAATTATGCTTATTGCTTAATTTGTTTGAGTTAAACGTAAATAATTTTTGAACCCATAGAGCTTTCATGGGATGGATCTGAGCGCACTTCGCGGGGCTGCAATCAAAGAGTACTTTAACCAGCCTGTCGTAGACACATTTGACATTGGCATCTGTCCCGTCGTTGAGCCTTGTGTGCACGAGGTGGACTTTCGCACGGTTAAGGAGTCAAGTCTCGCAAACATTGACATTGCACTACGTTTTCATATCAATCAGTGCTCAACGGTAAGTTCTTGTACTTAATACCTGTGTAATGTTATCGAGTTAACTCAATGAAATGAAATTTAAGACAAGTTGTCTATTATTTTATTAATTTTATATATCTCCGGAAGTTTGTTTCGTTGTCATTATTAATGTCTTGCCTTAGTCGCTGCAATTTTTAAGTTGCTGGTTCCTTAAATCTTATCTATTTCACTGTATCTAAGAATAACGAACTCGTTTTGCTAAATGTTAGATGGACTGAGTAAAACGGAACATTTCCTATTAAACCCTATCACTCGTGCCCTTATTTGTCGGCACCAACGGCCAGGCCTAGTGCAAACCGTGCATGGTAGCATTTATGCAATTCATGCTTTCCAGTAACAAACAAGTTGTCTGTTTTCTGAGTTTCCCGTTTGTGCACATCAGTTTCCACCACACGTATTGCATTTAATGCCTCATCATGCCGTCCTACTTTTTTTTCTACCATAAATTAGCAAAAAAGTTTCACATTAAATGACGGACAGTGAAAATGTCAGCAGATGCTGCATCTTCCCAATTGGGGCCATGTTTCCTTCTTGTATATCAGTAATGACCCAGGGGTTTGCCCAAAGCTTGTCACTGAGGCGAAATTATCCAAGTCCCTTAAAATACCCCGCATAGACCCTCATCAAAAGGAAAGTTGAAGTCATCCTCTTAACACGAGGAACTATAAAATTTGGGTAAATATGAGCACCTTCTAATCAATACATATGGTCGTTTCAAATACTGAAGTAAATGCTTTATTTAATTGGCCTTTTTACCTCGATATATTTTCTGCCGAAGAAATCATTACTCTTTGATCGTTAGGAAAATTGAGGGGAACTCATCAGTGCATTCAGATATACATTTCATCGGTTATGAAGCAAATCGTCTTTTGAAGTGATGTAATCCATGGCTCCTTTATTTAAATTTACTTTTGACAATTGAGTTCAATCGCTATCCACTTGCAATCGACTACGTCTGTGACATTTTATTTATGTGTTTTAGGTACATGGTTTGGCCTTTTGGTTTGACGTCGGTTTTTTGGGCTCGCAAAAAGATGTTTGGTTATCGACCGCGCCAACCGAGCCACTCACACATTGGTACCAGGTTCGTCCACTTTTATTTGACCAAATTTTCCACTTTGACTTTATTCGATTACGGCGTGTTTCGTCATGAATAGACCTACGGTAACGTCAGTTTTTTTAAGAATATTTTCGAGATGAGTGATATCAACCTCGCTAGTGTCTCCACTCCGGAGACAATTGAGGCAATTTTTAAGAAATCTTTTACCTAACTTACCATCAGTCGGTATCGTTGCTCATTACTCAACCTAAAGCAAAACCCACGACCCACCGCATCCTACCATGCAAGTTTTTTTTTGAAAATGTTTAACGGCATTTGGCAGGTAGATCCTTGTGTTTGATTGTTCTCCAAGGAGACTACTTAATGCATAGTTCAATCAACCCTCTTTAATTCCGCTAATCGCGTTGACGCAAATGTTCTGTACATGGTTTCTCACGTAGCCTCTATCCGCTAGTAATTTTCGAAGCTTAATTTTTCCTAGGTTCGGTGTCTTTTGGGGACTGCGCTATTTGTGCAAGAGGGTCAAATCTTGACAGGTCGCGTAAAAATGACCGCAAATACTCGGCAGTCCTACGATGTCGACGTTGAACTGGTTGTTCCCGACAGCGACACCAAGGCAAGTACACATTTAATAAGTTGCTTTAATCAGCGTCCCAGGGCTGTCTGCATTGCAAACTGGAGGTAGGTACCTTGCAATCTAGTATCCAAACCCAACCTGAGGCAGTTGGACATACTTTTTTTCTGTGGGGCCATTTCCAAAAGATCCTAAAACCTGTAAAACCAATGGCTGCCGTAGGCCCTGAGGATTGCCACTTAATCGTTCAATATAACACTCTCCACTCCTGGCATTTTTGTTGATCAGATAACAAATCATCTGGATCTCAAAAATCCCCACTTCCGCTACACCGGCTACCCCCCAGCTCCACCACCTGGCTCTCACTCTAAGTCTCCTACCGAAGTTTACTTTGCCAATCAAACCTCAACTACGCCCACGGGTGCCCTTGTTGGGCCACAGACACAGCCCACTGTGATCACGGCTGACCCTGCCACCGTGAGTCGTGGCGCATTTATCGCTAACCCGGGCTGCGCTGGAACCCTCCTCTTCCCTTCAGCCCCTGCAGCCGCCGAACACGGTGGTGCGCTGTTCGCCACTGCTCCCCAATCGTCGTGTTCTGTCCCAAACATGGTGAATTCTACTCCAACTTCATCCCCTGATATCTTCTCTAATGGCTGCTGGTCTACTGGAGGTTAGTTCCTGCTAGTCTTCATTCCCCAATCTCCAGGTTCAGTTGGTCCAGCAGCAACAATTCTTTAGAAATTCCATTGCGATGCATTGGCTTCATACGCTTGCTGTGATTACAGCGGTATTCAAATGGTTTTCCGTAATTTTGCTCGTAATTAGTGAATTTATACATAACAATGCCGCTGGAGTCGAATCGCCGATGTTATCAGCTTTGTATCATTTCGACCCCGGTGCTTCTGCGAAAGCAGTTGATTTACAGTGGCTTTCTGGGGTCCTTACCCATTATGGCACATCTAGGCAATCGGACGCCTCGTGGCGTCTAAACAGCCACACATTCTTCAGAACGTTTCGGTGTGAAATTTTGTTTACAGGTGATTTGGCAATGTTCATAATCCCCAAAACCTTACAACAAAGGCCTAGTGATCATGCACTTACTTCTGTCACTTTCCCTCATATTGCTTGAGTCGCCATAAACTGGCTTATTAGTAAACCTTGTTTCAAGGAGCCAGTTAAAGACAAAGTATAAGTGGTCGTCTTCGGTACAATTTCGTTCTGTACATGTTCTATCCATGTAAACCCAAAATGTAACTCACCAAAATGTTTTATTTCAGGCTGCAATCACTATTTCTATCAAGCCAATTACATTAAGATAATGATTCGATTTGAACTTGATTGTTTATGATGGGCTAAATGGGACTTGGGCTGTTTCAAGTTTACACACCGCCTGTTCCCGTACCAACCTAAATGACATCATGCATTTTGACGGCGTGAATAGAGAAACCCAAAATGGCGTACAAAATATTCTATGTAGAACTAATGCATCCTACCTAGATATCTACCCATGAATCATTTAATGTATTTCGGTCACACCGATAGCCTACCAACGTTTTTTTAATCTCTCCTCAGGTCAATCGCATTTGCTTGCGCCCACCAACACTATGCAAGCCGGACAATTTCAAGTCACCATTCCTACAGGATCTAACGCTATCGTCTACGACCATCGACCACCGATTTCCTGATGCCCTTCCTCTCAATCCACTCACTTAAATCGTCTTACGCCCTCTCCATTGTAAAAATTGCCGAATTTCATCATGAGGACAATCTGCTTCACTATTCATCGACCAAATAGCCACAATAAGACGCTTTCCCATCGTCGTCACTTTCACACTCGGTGTTCCAAGTCCGTTTTTGCAGGCTTTAGCTCCTCCGTCCCTTTCTTCTAAGGGTTCTCTGTATTAACGCGTGTGTGTCCACATCAGACCGATTGGGCTAATAGCCGCAGAATACAGCGCCTTTATCTAACTCTGGCACCGCCCTTCTCGTGAAAGTTGTTTGCGAATACCGCCTGCTGGTGTGGCTTGCAGATCATAGTATAATATTCGCAACACCATGCTGTTATACTGAGCTGCTGACAGCACTAGATGTGCCTACGCGCTACATGAATTCATGCCTGTTCTCTGCGCTCCTTCCAAATGGTGACTCCACCTATCTTTAGACCCTAGTATTCTAGGTTAGGTTAGACGGCAATACAAGCATTAGCCACCATGACCAGGTGCGACTAAACGGTGTCACCCAGGCTTGAATCAAATTGAGTGTTCACCCGTAATGCGTGTGACCTCCTCATCAATTGAGCATTGCGAAAAGATTTCGGTGAGGTTGTGAAAACCTATTGCCATTCCACTGGCTCATAGGTTATTTGCTGAAGTGCACCAGTATTTGCATCGAAGAAGGCGGTTAAAATCCCGAAATGAGAGGATGCGTGTTGTGCACAGATATCGATTCCAATGCAGGTATTTCTATCTAATGACAGCGTTCATAATTAGACTAACGCGCAAACAACTCTCAATCCAAATCTGTCAGACTGCCGTCGTTCAGTAACCCCATCCACATATGGTGTCCGTGGCAGTTAATGCAAATTTCGTTGCCTTTCAATCTAATTAACTTCCGCATATTTAACCGTCTTAGTGTAATCTTGTCATTCTGGTCAACCGTTAGGTCAGTAGCTTTTCTTGCCATAGATTGGTCGACACTTAACAGAACTACATCAGCATAGATTATGCCATGTGTGTGTGTGTGTCAGTGTAGGTGCTTGCAGATGTAGTAGTCCCACCCCCAATTCTTGAACAAAACTAAATTGTTAATGTGCGGCGTTCACAATTAAAAATGTAACCCTGGTCCAGAAGAGTTCAGAAGACAGTTATCCAACTGTCTAGATTAACGCTAGTGTAAGTGCTGTAGACCACACTCGTTCCTCAACACCGTACTAGATTTCGATTCATTGCAACACAGTCATTAGGTGCATTGCCACAATAATCAAGCACAGTGTGCGTTCGTAAGACCAGGAGAAACAACAATTGAATCAACCGAAGTTATGGTTTGTTGCCCCATACCAGCCTAGAAAATCAAGACTCCCGGTTGAACACGTTTTAAATATTACGCAACCATGTCAACTTCGTACCCTTGGAGAAAATTTGCATCCTTTTTGTTAGGGGGCGAATAAAATATAGAAGTGTTTTAAACAAAAAAGTTCAATGCATTTGACAATAGCGGCGCGACAATTGTCCATATAATTTTTTTAAATGTTACCTGTGGTTGTTTAAGTCGATATTGCAATTCCCCTCGCCCCCGCGTGTCGTGGATCTCACGTCTGTTTCTCTGCGCGCGGCTCGTCCGTCTGTCCTGTGTCGCGCGGGTGCGTGTTTATGATGATATCTAACACCAATCTTTTTTGATGTTGTGAAATTTGCATCACCAACTGAGATTCATCCTTTTCACGGTGCGTGTTTTCTTTTTTAGATATCCGTTTGAAGGTGTGTGTTACGGTTTGAAATGCTGATCTATCACGATGGTCTTCGTGCGTTGCTGTGGCGAAGTTCTTGTTACTGAGATGTTAACGATTCTTTCTTCCTTTTAGGTTGAGTAGCTATTATAAATGAGAAGCATTTGCCTATGTGGTAAGCGTTCGCCTTGTGTTCGCAATTTCTGGTCTTGCGATGCAGAACCTTATTTCCCACTCCTTTTAGACCAACTCCCTATTTCCTTGGCGGATTTGATGCGTAAGTACATGATGATACGGATCCAACTTTGAGTTGTGATAGTTTTAACGAGCTTTTTAACACTGACCAGGGATAATGTGGATGTTTCTTTTGTAGAGTCCATTTTAGGGGTGAGTTCCAAATAATGTGCTCCTTCTGATGACAATTTCTTTCCCCAATTGATTTGTGATATGTTCGTTCCTCTGATAACACTGCCTTTTTAATATTTTAGCATCGGGTTAGACTCAAAAACCGGTGAGTGTCGCGCATGTATGATGGTATCTTTCGGGTCTTAATTAGATGTAGACTTCTTTTTACTGATGGTCAAGTAACATTCGATACTTTTCTTTTAGGCAAATAGAACTGACGTGGTTGAATCTTGACCAGCAAAATTTGGAGTACTTGTCAATCCACTACCCTCTCTCACAGTCCGTGTCAGAAATAAATATTTATCCGTCCGGGCTTGTGTGCTTGTTAGTTGGCTCAGTGCCGCCACGGAGCTCTGCCATCCTGGCCGGGAACTGCCACCTATTGAAAACCCGAACTGAATAAGAAAAAATAACGTTAATGAAACAACGTTTATCTTAGTGATAGCAGTCGTAAACGGCTTGGAAGGATCCGCGATTGGGGAAGCTTCAGTGAAAGACGTTTGGCGCGGTTCGCACTGTTGCTCCCTGGTTAAGAGGTCCTAGAACAAAAAGCTTCGCTTGAGTCCCGGGAAGCCTCGTGTCGTGGGTTGCTTTATAGTTTAGGTCGAGTAAAGTAGGTGTCACGTCAATACCGATTTTCTTCATGCGGTTTAGAAGTTCAAAGCACAGGTGCGTGCTTTGATTGAATTGGCAATTAACCGCTAGGTATCGACCACAAATATTTTAATTTCGTAACACAAATATGAGTATCAGATTGGCTTAGTGTCGGGGGCCACATCGTCAAACCCAGAGGACAGTCATTTAAGGTTGAATATAAGAGCCTCTTGGGGCACCGCCTGAACAAATTGCCTCAAATTTGGAGTGCACACAATTGCTCTGAGGGGATGCCTGATTGAAGTTAAAAACAGGGTGGCAGATATCCAAACGCCGTTTTGCTCTCGAACCTTTTCTAATCCATTTATAGACGCAGATACTTGGAGGAGACCGCAAATTTTGCACGCTCATGGCCCACAAAGTGCAAAAATTATCTTTATCTTTACCTCGGGTTTCGACAAAACATATTCGCGGACAAACGCGTACAAACCACCAAAGAACAACACAAAGAACCTTCAGAACCCACAAAAATAAGCTATGTTGTGATTACACACATGGACGAAATAAAAACTCACGTGCAGGGTAACTCCAAAACTGTGCCGGATCCAACACCATCATTGCCTTCGCCTGACTCAGTTCCATCTTGGCTACTATTACTCCTAGTGGTAGCTGGATCTTCTCCCTCAACGTGATTTCTGTCCGCTGCTCCTTGCCTTGATCTGCGGCGGCCAAGGCGCCGCCGACGTCTGATCACAAAGCCTGTCGGGCGAACGTCTCCTACGCCTGATGGAAAGCCCAGTACGATGCGTGACTGGTATCGACGTCTGCTTGTTCTTTCGAGAGAAGGATGATCTTTGAGAACACAAGCTGCAATAGGCGGCTCTAAGGAACTGCTGCTGGCATCAGTCTGTGAGAGAATTCAAGCAACAAATAGTGAATATGCCCCAGCTATGTCGACAATTCAACACCCCCACTTAGAATAAATGACGAAATTATCCAAGGTTTCTGGCTTTTTTTCCTTTGAAAACATTTGAAAGCGTTTGTGCTTCCGTTTCCGATGTCAACCAACACATAAAAGCTTTTAAGATAACACGAGCTTTAGTATCAATCATGCACATTTTTGGAAAGAGACCAAGGAATGAAAATCGGCGTAATTTACATAAAGCGGCAGAACTTAGGACTCACCCGGAAAGTTGCCGATTCATTATTTGTTTTTTGATCCACACTCGGAATAGCGGGTTGAGAATCACATCGATTAGCGTCGGTTGTGAAACTCGCGTCAGATGCCCAGGGTTCACGATCATCAGTATTACCCTCACAGCTATTGTCATCACCATCATCAGACGGGGGGTTATTATTCGGGGAAGCTGCTGTGCCATGTCGGCGTAGTGAGGGGTGCTGGTTACGCATCTGCCGGAGCATCATCTCAAGTGGGTCTTGGTGAAGCATGTCTTGGTTGTTCGCGGCCGCCACCAGGTGGTCCTCCACGACCAAGTCCTTCCACTCATCATCATCCTACGAAATTCATTTACTTTAGGTAAATGGCACAGCGGCAATATCAAAAAATATGTTAATTCGAGGTTTACCTCAGGACGGGGGGACCAGATTCGAACAACGCTGTCGATGCCAGAGGAGGCAATAAGGCAAGTGAAAGGGTGTGGCTGGACACAATTCACGGTTGAGCTATCGGCCCTCAAAACTCGAACGACATTTGTGGTCGCGCGGTCCCATATGAACATGCAACCACAGTCAGAACCAGCTGCCACATATTCCTCCTCTCTATGGTGGGTAAATGAACATGGATAACAATAATAAAAAAATACAATTCTACAGGAATAGCTTATTTTGCATAACCTAAACGCGCGCACACACACACACACGATGAATACTCAGCTATGTCCAGGTCTAATCAGAGCAAAGAGTGATATTTTCGCCACGTGCTATCTGATATTTGAGTCATACACAAAAACTCACCCTCCGAAAAAAGTGGCTTCTTTGATATCGGTAGTCGTATTACAGTGTCCAAGAAAACGTTTTTCATAGTCTGTGGCTTCTCCTCGCCAGCGATACTCGAAAAAACTTGAATTATTTCCGTCAGTAGAGGATGAGAAAGTCTTTTTGATGCGGCGCTCGATGGAGCACTCGTTGCAATTGCACTCTCGGTGGCTAGAAGACGTCTGCACACCTTCTAGTGAGGACGAAGAGGGAGAGGAAAAAAGGTCGGGTGGTCCATTACTTTGTTCTTTGTCCATTGGTAAGGGATCTGCATTTACCTCGTTCACAAGAGGGGGGTTTTCAGAAATTTTGGCGGTGTCTAAACAGAAAGGAGAGCATTACGGCGATGATTACTTCCTCTGAATTGTGAAGAAACATGACAACGAGACCGACCAGGAACCAGTGCTGGGAAAATTAAATCAAGGCAAATGGAATCAAGTTTAAGAGCAGCTTCAACCCACAGACAAATTCGGGCAGTTACGAGTGCTAATCACACCGCGCTTGCTGCGGTCTTTTAAAACGTGCACATTTTAATTAATCAGATAGCAGAATACATCTGTAACTAGTGTGGTATAATGCGATAAAGTTGCATTTCCAAACAAGCTGCAAATATTTAAAAAAGCGAAGACGAAACCAGTTTTTCGTCCATTTTTCAAATGGTTCATGTAGGTTTGCAAATTTTCAAGTGTCTAACATAACCAAGGAGTCTTGAAGGGCATATTTGTGGGCATGAAATCTCAGGGTCATTTCTTGGTTCACCAAGACATGAGCAGGACATGAGATCCGAGCAGAGAAAGGCACAGGCGAGAATTGAATACACTGTTTTCTGGACTTGCACACAACAATTCTGCAGGGTAACAATTAGCAAGTTCGAAAGTTAGCCATTAAAATGCAGAAGCGAAAAGCAATTAACGGCGATGTGATCTTGTTAAGATAAGACGGATCGTGCAAAATTCAACACCGCAATAAAAAAAGCCCATCTTCCTGACCTTCTGGAGGGTACAATCGAGGATTTTGGTCATTTTTTTTACAAGCGAGCTCGCAAAGGCTCGTCTCCTTGTCCTGGATTTCGTAAATCATACGAGGACCCTCAGGAGGGCAGGTCCCAAATATTTTCATTCCGCAGTTGTTATTATTATTAGCGTCAATGGAAGTTTCTGGAGCAGGGAAATACCGATCGATATACCGAACACGGACTTCGTCAAGTGTAGACCGGGCTGCCCTTACCCAGCCAAGAGGAATAAGACAACGAGCGATTAGCATCTTGGCTGTCATTCGAAGGGAATCTGTGGGGGAAATTTGGTTAGATGTCTGACTATTTTGTGGATCAGCATCACTGCTTGTGAACTCATCGGAGGTTAATGAGATCGCCTTATGGCAATCAGCGAGAGCTCCGTAAATATCACCATCCCTAAAAAGATAAAGCAGAGCTTAAGCAGAATTGATTGTAACAAGCATTGAACCCACAAACAGAGCAAAATGTAATTTTAAGTTGTTGAAAGAGTCACATCAATTACAAATTGACAGGGTTTAGACTTTCAATACAACGGCTAAGCTACACTGGCGCATTCAAAAGCAGTAATAACGGCTGCGCAATATTCTAGCCATCGAGGTGCTCTGTTGATCAAAACATTCATCAGCGACTTCCACTGGTTTAAAATCACCCCTGTTTAAAAGGGTGTCCAAATACTCTGAATCGTTCCGAAAATATTGATGAATGGCTCATAAAGAATATGCAATAATTACTCAGGAAGAGAAATCGTAAACAGTACTTTGTGTTCTTTTCCGTGTACAAAATTCCATGAGTTTTAAGACTGCACCAACTTCATAACAGAAACACGGAAAATTTGAATAGCTGATTCCGGCTCACAAGACAGTTAATCTTTGCGTTACCTACTTTTGTTGAGGGGTCACAAGGGAAAACGGATTCCAGTAGATAAATGGCACATAGGTTATTCACTAAGAATGACGTTAAATCAACCCACCATATATAAACAAATTTTGAAGCTAAATTAAGTAATGACGAACTCACCATGACCGACGAATTAGGGCAACTGCGCGCCCAGTGTACAGTTTAGCGACATGCGGCCAACGAGCAATAGCTTCGTTATAAAGTTCAACGGCTTCTGCGTGGGATTTCTTCGTTATCAATTCACTGGCGCGCATCGCATATTCTTCTATTGCCCCATTTTCAGCAAGGGGTTGAGCTGAAGGTTAGAAAATAGGGTTTATTAATTTTTGGACCCCGGTGTAAGAGATCGAAGTGGTTGACCCAGGAAAAGCAAGTGACAACGGCAGAAATACACTATACGTATAGCCAAGAAGCCTCTTTACGCCAAAAGTACATTTATCTTCACAATAAGCAGTTCAAACATGAAAAATATACAGCTCAACAACTATAGTGAAACGATTACAACGGCATGACCGGTGAGACAATTGGTTAAAACAAATTTAACTCTTTAGAACTTAAGTACCAACGACCGGCACTACGATCAATGATACTTGTTGCCATATGCTATCAGGTTCGAGCCCGATCAGCCTACTTAAATGGCGTTGAGGTAACCTTAACAAAAGTGAGCAACCGGTGAAGAAGCACGAGCATGCACAAAATATGCGAAACTTCATTTTATCCCATTGCCTGATCAAGGAAGCCTTTTCAAGGGATGAACAAAAAACCCAAGGCCATTGTTAAGGCCTCTATGATCTAATATGTTACCGATTTACGTGACTTCAAATGGACTGCAATAACTCAGCATTTCGAACTATTTAGGAAACGCAAACCAAAACAATCATCCTTCAGTTCATAGTGGTTAAATTCAGTAAGCAAGGACTTGCAGACAGTCGGCCTTCCTGAACGATCTTGACGATTTGCCCACTTGGGTACTTGCTTTGTAGGTTTCTGTGGACTGACACAAACAGATTCAGGTGCGCAAGACGAAACATTGAATGAGCTGATATCCGAACTGTAGTTGATTGGAGGTTTATTTCCAGCGGTATCGTAAATGTAAATGTGCTCTCCCCCAAGATTGGCCAGGAGATGTCTTCCGTCCGAAGAAAAGGTAACGTAAGTTGCGTTTATCATGCGAGCACGGCTACTACTTCGCTGTATGTGTCCTAACAAGAAAGACGTTGCCTCTGATTATCATAAAATCGAACCATCGACGTTCCACGACATCGTGTCTCACATACCTGGGACAAAATACCGCGCAGCTTCATAAGGCAGCTGCGACAGAGAACTGACCTCAGGCGATCTAGGAAGAAAAAAAGGCTAAAAACCCTAAAAACATGATTAGTTGACGTGGTAAAACTCGTTGATGGACGTAGACAGGCATGTTCACATGACAGGGGACCCACAGCACATCCCAGCTAGAAGCAAAAACCATGACTAGCCACAGAAATGACATACGCGTAATGTACAAAACCCGTATTCGAAACAGATTACGTATCCTAACACTTCAGACATGGATAAACCTACACGTAGATTATCACAGGTTTACTGATAAGCTTATTAAGAAATAAACAGAAAACGCAGACATTACCCTGACGCTTGAATAAGCGCTGCCAATGAAGACTGTAGGGGGGTAAATCTGCGATCGAAAAGTCGAATGTAAGCGTCGTTCGCACCAACGGCTAACAACTGAGGATAGACTGGGTTGGAAGCCAGGCATTTAGCCTCCGCTTCCTCCCCAATATGCCGAGACAAATCTATGAGGACATTTGGTGACGCCACGGATGCAGACTAAATTAAGAATGGTCAAATAGCACAATTTAATGTTAATCTTCCTACATTTCGAGGGCACCGAATATCGAACTGGCGGATGGTCCCATCTTCTGAAGCAGAGAAGAAAATGAAGGGTTCCGTCCGATTCGTTTCAAGCCGCTTTACACGCCGCGAATGACAATCAAAAACGTTTATCGTTTCACTTCTTTCTACGTCGTGCACACGTACCTGTGAATCACCAGCGCAGGTTGCTATAAATGCGGCCTTTCATTACAGTGTTTCAATAGATTTCGATGAATTGTAATAAAAACAAAAGGAATTAGCCAATTTTGTTCGCAGTGTGTACATAAAGAGCATACATTCCAAAACCACCCTAATCGAAATTCAATACTGAGACCCACGTAAAACTAGACCTTTCGACAGATTAAGATTATAAATTCCCATATCTGGACCAAAATAAACCAGTTCAACTAATGTGTTGAAGTATAACGTAGTGAGAAAAATACAGTCAGAGGTAGCCACATGTACCTGAGCACAATCGTCTTACGGAATATATGCGTTTTCCCTAGTAAAGCTAGCGTAATTAAAAATCTGAGCCCTGTCTTTAATCACGACGGCATATTGAAAATAAGGGAAAGACAAGAGACGCGTACACATTCCACTGAAGTTCGAAATGACTCAATAGCTATTATGTTAGACTAAAGATTACTATCAATCCGTCGATCCTTTAACTACCAGAATAGTATCTCTCAAACCCGCATGAGTCAGTGCAAAATCAATGTTTCAAGTGTATGGCACATCTCAGGGGCAGTTGGAAAATTGTGCCCTAAACATGCTGAACAAGTTTAGCGTAATGCGATCTTCAACTTCTCAAACAGATGGTCACTTCTCTTCATTGTAGCTTACAGGTGGTTACCATTATAGCTGCTTCGAATATGGTCACTTGGTAAACAGTGCAGCACACGCAGCCACATCAGTCAATTTGTAGCCACAGCTTACGTGATTTTTGCAGGTTATGTTAATCAATGTCTCTTGTTTGGAATAATACGTACAGGTTTTACTACCATCCTGAACTACCGTTTGTGTTCTTTGTTTAATTAATCTCAGCAAGTCATCTGTGCGGAAGAACTTATTACCAGTAAACAAGAATTGTTTGCAACAGGTACAATGTGCAGCACCCCGATATCAAGTAATAATGGGCTAAAAACAAATATCCGGAGCTTCTCTCCTCAGTTGCTTTCGAACAGCAACTTCAGACTGTCGCACGTGTTTCTTTGCATTATTGTCTGTTTACAATGAATAGCGGCGATTCAGGAAAAAAACAACACGGAGCGAATGCAGATGGCGATAGCTAGGGAGATTAATTTTCCACTTGCCAGTCAGTCAAACAAGTCCCGAAAACAAAAATCAAATAAAATACTTCCATTCCCTAAAAAATACCTTGCAATATACTTTTTCTTTAGTCCTATTTTCAAAAACCTTATATTTTTTGATCGACAGACCCACTGTGCCTGAACACATGCAACAATGACTAACCTGGTTCCTATTTACAAGTTTGCCCATAATGAGCATGATGCTAAGCATCCTTAGCTAGGATGTATTTTAATAACAGATGAGCCAATTTCGATCACTTATTAAACGTGAAGGCACTTACCACCTGCTGTCCTTGAAGGTTGAAACAACAGTCATAAACGCAGACGTATAAGTTAACTGCAGTCCAAGTGACATCAAAACTCCATAGGTAAAGTACGCAATACCGATTTGCCGAGCGTAGGAAGTAACTAAATCCTCATTTTCAAAGTAATGAAGTTACTGATAAAGCTAAGGCATAAGAAAACTGCTCCCCACGCAGCTGCAGTGGAAAATCCAATAATGTCAGTAAGAGGACATAGAAATGGCGACATAAATTGCGGTAGAGCGTATATCAGCGCTGGGAGAACTGATGTGGCCGTTGAACTAGCTTGAAAAACCTCCTTGAATTCAAAAAATAGAATTCCAGCCGAATATGTACATCCATCAGCCAGAAAGTAGGACATAAAGCCCCCCAAGACAGTCATCCATTTCAAAAAATCGAACGAAATCATGGTAGCTCAAAAGGAAAAACACCACACCAACACACAGTGCTCACTAAACGAAGTACGAAATGCCGCGTCAATATTTGGCTTAATCAAGGACACAAAGCCGCGATTTAAAAAGCCTCTGAATAATGAGTCAATTAAACTAACAAATCGTTTCGAGATAAAAACACTTCAGTATCTCTTATTTCGGCTACAAAACCCAAAGGTATTTATGTGTACAAATTATTTGTGCAGCATGTTTTGTTTTTTTTATAGTTAACGTCAATGATGGACCTAATTGTTCTGCCAAAATATGGGTGCAATGTTCTTATTTAGAAAATGCCCTTGTTAAAGCCGACTGTCGAATGCACAGCGTCAGAAGCAATTTTTTGGCCATAAAGATGGTTGTGTGTCACCTAATTCCTGCACACCAAGTGTTCGCTTAAACAAATCAGTATGTTCTCAGGTGTTTTTTTTGTCCTGGAAATTGCGTCTGTCTCGTTTGCTTTTGTAGGCATCGACGTGCAGTTTTGGTTATAGGTGTTGCATCTATTTTAGGGAAAGCAGTACAATTCTGACAATTCTGTAGCGGATTAACAGCGATCGAGCCTGAGTGAACCCTGGTTACTGACCTGACGAAGTACGGTCTCTGTTTGAACACAGACGCCTGAAACAGCATCAACAACTACAAGTGCTCCATCAGTGACACGTTAGGCAGCTGTTAATTCAGAGCTAAAATTGACATGGTGCGGGGAATCAATTAGATTGATTAAAAAGCCACATTCGTCTTTGCCAGCTTCGTCCTTGTCAACCGGTTGCACCTTCCACACAAAATCTAACCGATCAGTAATAAGTTCATTGTAAAGGCTGATAGCAGTCAACTTGATGATAATATATCGGTCTTGCTCATCTTTGCGAGAATCAGTGAAGCGAGCATCACTAGCACAGGACTCTGTGATGATTCCAGCTTTGGAGACAAGAGAATCCGTAAGTGTCGATTTGCCGTGGTCAACGTGAGCGATCACAGACACATTTCAATCTTTTTGTTTTTCGACATTAGCCGACGGATTTCCGCTACCTTAAAGTTCACCATGCTTAGGCTGGTCAAGCAGTATCACAAGTGCACACCGGATAGGCATCTCGGGGGGAATATTTTTAGCGGATTAACCGCGATCGCGGTTACTGCATGCGTATTTCCTCTTGCCGCTGGTTTATTGAATGAGTTTTAAATCATATCTAAGTAGGACATTAAGCATAAATGTGGGATACTACTACTTATGTGAATTTGGTCATGATTTAAAATATTAAACATTGCTAGAACACTTTTATTCCTTTTTTTATCGTTTAAAACCAATTAAGGGCAACTTAGACTGCCATGGTAGTCTTCTAAGTTGTTCTGCTGAAGTTGGTACAGTAGAACATCATTCATCTTAAAGTCCTCGTAAAAAAGACATGCATTGTAAAGAAACTAAATAAAATATGGTAAATATTGGATGAGCAACATTTAGTTTGGCAAAGTTGGGCAGATCTTGGCTGGAGGGACTACGCAGATAGCAAAATGCAAGGAGTTTATTTCAAATACGATATAGTAGGTTTCACTGTAATGAATATACACTTCTTATAGTTCCTAACTGAGTGACCTAAACTTGATTAGAATAAAGATGCAATTGCCAATAATAGATATTGTGATGGCTGTTCTCTCATGTTGGGAATGCGAGTACAATGTTACGGTATTCCAACAAATAAAACCGAAAGTTTACACAATTTCATGAAAGGATCCGAGCGTTTATAAGCAGGTTTTTTGCCAAAATTTTTAGGCATAAAAAAGATTTTCGTGGGTTGCTTTAATAAAATTCCTGAAAATATCTAGACAATTATATGCATAGTAATAAAAAAAGTAAAATTAAATACTTTGTATTATGTTTAGTTTGGGTAAAACTTAAATCCCCTCAAATTGTTGACGGAATATTATCCACGCTATACTAACTTCTTTGCCAGGTGTTCTAAACCCCCATTAAAGAACAAGCCGAAGATTAAAGGGTGCGTGCTAGGCATCTAAATGAAACGTTAAGGAAATTTGTTTGAAGTCTAAAATAGATGTTTGGTTACATGCATGAATCCATTCCTGGTCTCAATGCTCTTCCCATATCGTCACTTACAACTACTAAGCACCTAGTATTCTATGTTAAGACGTTAATTCAAACGATGGCCACCATGACTACGTGCGGTGAGCCGTTTTTACTCAGTGTGAATAACAGTGACACCATAGACACTAAAAAAGGCCCACTGGTATAAAGAATACTAGAGTTTATCCGAAACATAAAAAAGTTCACATTATATCTGATGAGGTGAGAATTGAAGTGATCTAACCAAATTCCCTATACTAAGACTATTGGTTACACTGAAATAGGAAGGAAATGTTACACCCAGACTTCGTTTAATCAGAAGGGTCTACTTACGTTGATAATAAATCTTATGCAAAGCGGCATCGGCAAGTTTGTGAAAACCATTTCATTAGCTCACAGGTTGGTGCCGGATTTCATCACGAGGACAATCTGCTTCACTATTCTTCGACCAAAGAGCCACAATAAGACGCTTTCCCATCGTCGTCACTTTCACACTCGGTGTTCCAAGTCCGTTTTATTATTGCAGGCTTTAGCTCCTCCGTCCCCTTCTCCTAAGGGTTCTCTGTATTAACGCGTGTGTGTCCACATCAGACCGATTGGGCTAATAGCCGCAGAATACAGCGCCTTTATC